GCGGCGTGCCTCGTACCTCTCGCTAAGTGGCCCCAGGTCCAGCACTAATGGCAGCTGGTCTCGGTTTTCAGTGGCCTCTCCGGGACACCTCCAAACCCAGCACAAGTAGAAGTCATCTACAGATTGCTTTGTAGGTCATGCTGGGTGGCCCCGGACAGAACACAGGTGGTGGCCGACCTTGAGCTGCACCTCCCCGGAGGCCCCAGAGCCAGCTCACCTGGTGGACGGCTTCAGACCATGTCAAAGCACACCCCGAACCACCTCCACAAGTGACACGCTCAAGGGGCGGGCTCAGTGAGCACCAGAGCCCTGCCAAAGTAAGCTCTGTTCCATGGGTTGGGCCCCTGCACAGCTTATCCTTCGCGGTGATCACAGCCAGCCCTTGTAGCCAATCGGCCTGCGGGTGAATCCCTCGCATCGATGTACCAACAGCAATCAAGCTGAACTACAACAGGAGGGTGAACACAACCCATGGTGGGGAGCTCACCTGGAGTGCCCAACTCGGGTGAACGGGGAAACTGAGCCCCTGGACCCTTCAGTAAGCTACTCTGCTAAGCCCGGGAGGCATAGCAGCTCTACCTAATACACAGAAACAAATACAGGGAGGCAGCCAAAATAAGGAGACAAATATGTCCCAAATGAAAGAACAGAGCAAAACTCTGGAAAAATAACTAAAAACAGACAAGCAATGTACTAGATGCAGCGTTTAAGACACTGCTTATAAGGGTGCTCGGTAAACTTAGGGAGGTAGCTGATCCATGTTCTGCTCTCACAGTGATGTTTCTCTCCCTCTCTTCCTCTCTCTCTAAAAATCAATAAAAAAAATATTTTTAAAAAGTAGTACAAATTGGAAGTTACAGGATAACCAGAGGGAATAATATTCTAATAACTATATGTGGTGTCAGATGGGGAGGGCATTTATTAGGATGATCACTTAGTAAGTTCTATAACATCTAATCACTGGGGTGTACACCTGAAACTAATATAATACTGTATGTCAACTGTAATGGAAAAAATAAAAAATCATCTAAAAAAACACATTTTGGGGGAGGTTTTTCAAAGTTTACACCATATTTTCTTAAAATTTAAAGTGAGCTCTTTAAAAAACTTCAAATAATATCTTTATGTAGTGTTTTATATTTTAGAAGTAATTTCATATCCATAGCTTCATTTCGAGATGTTCCTGTAAAATTCCTGAGGAAGCTGAGGCCCAGACAATGTGCAAAACCTGCCCCACATAGAGCACCAAGCTAGAGGCACAGCCCAGACCACCACCCAAATCTCCTGATCACAAGTTCAATGCTATTTTCTTTACTTTGTATGTGGAACTGAACATTTTCTAGGCACTTCTATTTGATTTTTGCAGCCAAGGTGACTTCTGATGAAATAAACAGATGAGGTGGATCTGGGCTGAAAGCCAGCCTCACTGCCTCCTGGTAGTGACCTCAGACAGTGAGTGTAATGGTTCAGGGCATGGGTTCTAGCACCAGACCGCCTGTTGTATAATACTGTCTCTTCCAATTGCTTCCTGTATGTCCTTGGGCAAGTGCTTTGGTTTTATAGTCTGTAAAATCGGGAAAATAATATGACTTACGTCATAGAATTGCTGTAGGATTAAGTGAGTTACTATTTGTAAAGTGCTTAGAATCATGCCTGGGTATGAGGTAGATGTGATGTAAACCTTTGTTAAACAAAAATCTGGTCCAATCCTATTATTTTACATCTAAAGTCGTTTTTCAAGTCACATATTATGATTATCCATATTCAACTGTCATTAAACAGCTTTTACTGACTATCAGTTGCATAGACTATTATAGAAAAGAAATAGTGTGGCTGATAGGCTTCTTTCTGTTCTTGAGGACTTTACAGTCTATAGAGAGATGGAACAAAGTACTGTATATAAGAGAGCCCGGAAACAGCACTTCTTTGTTATTGTAGCAGGTCTGAGGGACACAAAAAGCTCTCTCTGTAGCTGCTAGGTTTCCAAAGCATGATCTTTTTTTTTTTTTTTTTTAAATCCTATGTCCTACCCAGTAACTTTCTTTCTCAACTCCTGCATCATAAACTTCAGTGGGCTTGTCAGGACCTGGCAGAGTATGGGGAGGGAAGGAGCACCAGTCCTTCCTGCTGCAGCGACACTCAGAGCCACAGCCTGGTCATCAATCTTACTCCTCCCTCTCTGGGAAGCTGTTCAGGTTCCAAAAGCTTAAAATTGTGGCCAACAGTGAAAGTTTTCATCTATTTGCAGCTTTTGTCCCTCATATTTAAAGTGAGAAAGCCCAAGCCCCCAGTTGCTGGGCAGCAGTGATATCAAGTCAATTAGCAGAATTTCTAAGGCATCAAACTACAATTACTTTCCCTCTGTAAAAAGCTAGTAATGAAGATTAATTTCCCTTCCTTTCTATAACCCCTTGTAATTAATAGCCTCCATTTTGGGGATTTCTGAATACTATACATGCCTGTGGTTTGGATTGGTTTGTGCAAAGCTACCTGGAATATTTAGGGATTGCGTGTGCATTATGGCCTAAATATCTTTATTCTGTATCAATTGAACTATGCTTTATTGCTATCTATTGACTGATAGAACTGACTAACTAACGGTAATAGGTCAGTGATACTACATGGTCCTCAATAACTCAGGTGCTATAATATATTGCAAAAACTTGAAGAAAACTTGAATACCAGAGAAGACATATTAATATTGTTATTGCTATTCTAAAATTAAATATACTATGACATTACCCAGGCAGATTCTTAAACACTTATAATTGTCTTAGTCCCATATTTCTGAGACAGCTTAATCTCTAGGTATTAAAAAGAGACATTTAAGATTTCTTTATACTTAACATTAAAGTATAAATGCCTTTATATTTTAACATGGACATGACAAGCAAGATGAGTATCTTGTCACCCCCACGTTAACTTTTATTCATATCAGTTAAGTAACTTAGGTGATATCTAAATAAAGAGGCATCCTTGTCCAAATGTCCATTTATAGAAGATTCTCTGATAGAGACTTCAGATCAATGGATACTATTGGTATTAGAAATTGATATTCTTATAGCCTTAAAAATCAGAGGCTAAGACTCACATTTGCACCACCTCACACTGACTAGGATGGCTGTAAACTAAGGACTAATAATAATGAAGTAATAATAAAAATCATATAAAAATAGGAAGCAAAGAAACTGGAACTTTTGTACATTGCTGGTGGGAATGTAACATGGCACAGCTGCTATGGAAAAGTTTGTTGGGTCCTCAAAAAGTTAAACAGAAATACCACATGACCCAGAAAATAAAAATAATTCAAAATAGTTGAAAACAAAGACTGAAACAGTACAACAGTCTTCAGAGTAGCATTATTTACAACAGTGGAAACAACCTTAATATCCCTCAAGAGAAGAATGGATAAACAAGACATAGTGTATATATATATATATATAT